AAGAAAGTAATGTACAAAGCTATGACGACAAACTCTTGGTTCCACAATAAGCTCAAAGATATATACCATGCATTCCAAAAAGATCCTAATGTTTTAATGTTGGAGTCTAACCTGATTGAGGTTATAACAGGTAATAGCCTACCTTTCAGCACACCCGGGGCCGATGTTGACTATGTGTTCATGCCAATCATGCCTACCAAAAAGGTACATTGGATGCTTTCTATTCTACAATTCAGAACTCGTACCTTGATGGTGTTCAATTCGGCCGGCAAAAGCTATCGTGATTGGAAGGTTCTATAAGGAATTGAGCCATACTTGAAGATTTTGCATGCTTTAATAAATGTTCTAGGATTGTCGAAAAAGAACCCTGATTATTATGAAATCAACTGGCGTGGACTTGAAGGTGATCATCGATGATACTCTAAAACAACAGACGATGACCAAGATTTCAAAGTGTACAACTTTTAAAAAATCCATTCATAACAAATCATTTGTGTTGTTCCTCAGTCATGATTGCGTGATATTTATGATTTTATACGCCTTATACATCCTTCGTGAAGGCAAAAATTCTATATCAACTAAATTTGATACCGACAAGTGTAGACTGGATATTGCTACACTACTCTACAAACATCGGGAGATCTATGTGAAGCGAATGAAGCAGGCTACAAAGGGGGAGTAGATTGTTATAGAGTGAAACTTGAAATTAAATTTGTAAATGACGTTGATGATTGGGTTTGTAACTTTTATGAATATTGCATTCTAGATATTTGTCTTTTTTAATATTTTATGTTCAATGGAAGTGATTATAATGAATATTAACATGTGGGTGTAAGGTCTAATTTGCAATACATGAATGCAACATGTTTCAATTAATAATAACTTATTTTTAATTGCATATTATTGTTAGGGGGTCACAAATTTGGTGAAAATGTTACAAATTTGTACGCATATGTCTAATGTGTGCTGTGGTTGCAATCATAACTGTTTATGTTTTTCTGATATATGTTGTGATGCTCTAGGTCAGTTGTCTGATGTCTCATAACTAAATGAAAACAAACACATGCTATAGGTCACATTTCAACATAGGTTTCTGATGAATGATGTCTATGATAACAGACTCCTATAGCATGTCTGATGTCTAAGTGATTGTCACATGCTACAGGTCACATCACAGTACACAAGACACATGTCTTTTGGACATGTCACATGTTATAATAAAGACATCGCAGTTCATAGTGTATAGGGAATAGGTGGTCACATATATATGTCACACTCCATAGATCACAGTTGCTTATCAAATGTTGCTGATGATGTCACAGTCTATTATCTTATGGTCAAATATATGTGAATAAATAAGCTATGCAACTCAAGGTACAAATTATACTATATATTGTAATCTGGACAAGTCACAGTACACATGCACAAGCTAATCAATTAGGTTGATGCTGATTTCATGGCAATTTTTAGATTGTCACACATATATGTATATGTATACAGGTTCTGCAAGGCAAGTCACATAATTAGAGTACGCTCTAGTCGATAGAATTCAAAGGTTTTTAAAGTTGTTTCCCTGTCAAGTCACAGATTTCAATCAGAGGTTACAAGTGCTTGTGAAGTACTAACATATCACAATTTCATGTGCACAAGTCATTGACTAATTATTAACTATTAAGACACAACTAACTAGAGGCCACAGCTCAATTGCACAATTGAAAAGAAAATGGACATATTTAATTACAATTGTGTTATTTCAGTTTATATATGATCCAACTGTATCATTAGTCGATTTCCTATTACTGGGTGTTCTCTATGTGATTTTAGCTTAATAGGACCAAACTGGAGCATCTCCTGTGGTTGTAACCATGTCTTCTATAACGTCCACATTTAACTATTGGTTTCCCTTCTCTGGATGATCTCTTCATTTTCTCAGTAGGTCAACCAGAACTCCTCTTCCGAATAAGAGCTAACACAATTTTGTCTTATACTTCTTTAGGCAATATTCATTCAGTTGGATTTCCAATGGGATATATATAGAATCTTGTACTCATTCACATATGCATCTTTTGTGTAATATAAAGAATAGTAAGCATATTGATCCATCTTTATATTTACAATTACATCCAATACGTACAGACACTTTAATAAATCAACTTGTAGCATCCTGTATGTGCATGTACGTTGCTCAATATCAACAACAAAAGTGAATTTTTCATCACTGACAGAAAATGTTGTTTGGTTAACAAGAGATACTTGCGAGAATGTATTCACATTCAAAGTTTATGTCAGGTCAAACAGATAAATATCATATCACAATTATGGCCTACTTGTCACAGATACATATATTTTGCACAGATATACAATTCAAGTCACATGCATATATGTTTGAGTTACATACAAAAATGTCAATTATCAAAATAATAAATTTACCCTCAAGTTCATTAAATCTACACTCATTTTCCTCATCTCTTTCTCTTACTTTCTTGATAACTTCGTGAAACTTCCATACGTGTCATCTCTATGTTTAAAGAACCAATATTGTATAATTTACCGCAATGACTCTAGCAAGGTTACAATAGGGTAATTCTTAGCTGCCTTTGTAACCACGTTGACCGATTATACTATGTTCGATATTATTATAAAATATCTATTTGCTAGCATGTGGAATCATGACCACTTTTCAGGTCCAACATCATCCTACAAACATAAATCATATTGATGAATATCATATAAATTACATAAGTGACCATTTTTATGTATGTGAAAATGTAATACTTTACCAAGTAACCACTAATCTTCTCATTGGTTGTGTTCAGCCGTCGCATGTTATATTAAAATTCTTCCAATGTGTAAGCTCGGAAAGCCGAATTGAAAGCTTGTTTATTGTTTTGACTTGGTTTTTGGTAATATGATTTCAGGTTTTGTAACAAATGATATGAACAGATACCAAGACAGGTCCCTAGATACATATGTTCTATTGCATTCTTTGTACTGGTGTGATGATCTGGTACAAAATAAAATCCTTCTCTGTACCCATAAGCTTTCTTCAAGTTCTCGGAATTCCATGTCCAAGATTTGTCGTTCTCATTATCTCCAATTTCAAAAGTAAATATGATGTTATTTGCATTCTGTGTACATGCTATGAACAATGTACTACCATAGTGACCATTTAAGTAAACACCATCAACCACAATCGCAGGCCTACAATGTTTCCACCCTCGTATTAATGCACCAAGTGCCATAAAGAAATATTTGAGCCTATTGTGACTATCAATCTCCAATCTTGTGATCGTACCCGAATTCTTTTGTCGGAGCATGTAGAAGAAGTTTGGTATCTTACCGAATGAATCGGTTGGATCACCCCTAATCAATTTCAATATTTGCTTGCGAGATCTCTAAGCCTTCGAATAATTCAAATAAAACCCATAAATATGCAACATATCACTACATATATCCTTTCAAGTGTATATAGTACAGGACGATGTGTAATTGTACTTGATGCTAGTTAATAAACTGTAGTTGATACTTGCCTTGTGACCACCCTAACACTATATTTAAAGCACATATGTGACCATCTCCAAGTTTTCTGATCTTAAATAGAACCGTTTTACCCTATTTTGACGATCTACACATCCAACTACATTCATCACGGGAAAACCTTATAACATATTCTTTCTTATCGGATTGTATATCCATAAACTCAAACATATTCTGTATGACAAAAAATGACAGGCTCAATTTCAAAATATTTTTATCACGGAAGACCATTCCTTTTTCTACCTCTCTAGCATCTGCAATAGATATAAATGTGACTTCGATCTCACACGTGATCCATTTTTTCAACTGATAGTTCGCATATGTCAGATGCCATTACCTGCAATGTACACAGCTCACCACTAGAATGTATATTAATTGTCACCATGATATATGGTTGTTCAATTTCTCATTACTTACATAAATGATTAATGGGTATTTAGCAGGTTCACAATCCATACCCTTCAACAGAATGTAGAATATGACATTATTTTCATTTTTTATTCTAATCGGAGTCAAAACATCATTCAATATATAGTTCAATGAGACTGCTACATTTGTAGAATCCAACCAAACTCTGTCATAATTGTATCCACAAGATTTATATAACTGTAAGTATGATCTATCAACGCCAACGATAATTGGGATCTAATCAACAAACATACATGCACGTACACCATTTCTGTAGATTAAAATTAATATCAATATTAGCCTCACGATGAAAATAATACGATTCACGGAGTTAATACAGGAATGACAATAATAAAATATAGGTACATTTTCAAACAAGTCACATATGACTAACATTGATGTCACAATAACTGAAACATAGGTCACAATTTATTGTACATA